GCCAAGAGTTCTACCAAAACGACCCAGCATCCAAGAAACAGCTCGTAGACGAAGTGCGAAACTGTTGCCTGCATAATGGCTTCTTCCAGATCACGGGTCATAACGTGCCGATCGAGCTGCAGAACCGGATGATGGACTGGAACAAAAAGTTCTTCGATCTACCGCTGGAAGAGAAGAACAAGGTGAACAAAGGTACGTTTAATAGTACCACCAAACGATGGTCTCTAGACACATCAACTCATCATCATTTCCACCCAGACACAACCAACACCTGGAACCGGGGCTACGAGCTCCTCGAATCGCAAATCCTCGAAGCCGGCACCTCGCCCGAACTAAAAGAAGGATTCTACATCGGCGACGAAATCCCAAAAACACACCCCTACTTCCTCAACAAGGCGCTCAACTCCGGGCCCAACATATGGCCGTCCTCTACGTCCTTACCAAATGTCCGCGACTTCAAAGAAACATCTTGCGAATACTACGCCGCCGTCGTCTCCCTCGCAAAAGACATCCTCAAAGTCCTCGCCCTGACACTCGATTTGGAAGAAACCTACTTCGACGCCTTCGCCACAGGCGCAGTAGCAACAATGCGGCTCCTGCACTACCCGCCCCAACCACCCTCCAGCCCCAGCCACCTCACCCGCGGCATAGGCGCACACACAGATTTCGGCTGCATAACCATCCTCCTGCAAGACACCGTCTCCGGTCTGCAAGTCTACGACCACGCCACAAGCGAATGGCTCGACGTAACCCCCACGCCCGGTGCTTTCGTTATCAACCTAGGCAATCTGATGATGCGGTGGAGTAACGACCGGTATGTGAGTAATCTGCATCGTGTTATCAATGTGAGTGGAAGGGAGAGGTATAGTATTCCGGTGTTCTTTAGCGGGAATCCGGAGTATGTGGTGGGTTGTTTGCCGAATTGTAGGGGGGAGGGGGAGAGGTGGGCGGAGATTACGGTTGAAGAGGCGATTTTGGGGGGGTATAGGGAGAGTTATGGGAGGGCGGAGGAGTGGAAGAGGGGGGAGGGAAAGGGGGATGGGGGAGTTGATGCGAAAGTGCGGGAGGTTGCTGTTGCGTAGTAGTGGTGGAGAGGATGCGATCATTTCTGCAAGTGAATTCGCGAATGAGGGCAGACGTGTCTTACCTCGGCGATATCCCTCAGACCGCGTCATATCTTTCATCAATGCTTGCTAATGCCGTACATCTCAGCATCACACACAAATTCACACGTGCTGTTCCGAGGTTCGCGCTGCATTCCGTGCTAAGAAGTGACCGGCAGAATTCTGCCGGTAAAATCTCGCCGCACTTTTGGCCCCCAAACGCTTACACGCGAGATCGCCAACCTGTCTGATAGCTTTGCATTGATTCACAACATCGTAAGACGAAAGTCTGGACTACATCCTGGATAGATCGGCCTCTAACCACCCTGTTATCGGTATCTTAGCCGTGCTGTGGGCCCTTCGACTTGCATGCTAGCGGCCTATTTATAGGCCGCCGCGGATAGTAGCGAGAAGGTCTTGTACACTTTCTCCCTAGAAGGGCTCTATACTTAGACATCTATTTCCAAGATGCCTAAAGACTGGTGTCTGGCTCCGGCACGTCATCTACCAGGTAGCCCTAGGCCTGCCCCTTCGTGCTAGAGTAGGTTGTGGGCAATTTGTGACTGGCCTGGTCGTATAGCCTTACACCTTTATCAAAGCAGTACACGTGTGATACTACAGCAAAAGAGATACTAGAAATGTGAAAGAGCTTTAGATTGCATACTATCATCATCGACATCGTCTTTTAGGTATACTTGGCCGCGGGTTAAGCACGCGAAGGATGATACCGAGGTGCTGGTGACCGGTTGCTGTGGTTTCAACACCATAGCGAGTGTAGATGCCTTCTGAAGTGGTATCGCGCCGGGCGGATGCTGATAGCACGCTAATTGCGTGAGGTACCGCCTCCAGGGTATGTGATGATGATATCCAGGAAGTCGTCCACCACATCCGCCGAAGACCATCCCGTATTTTCTCATCGTCACCATGGTCGCCCAGCACATTGACCCAGATATGCTCACAAAGATGTGCCAATTCACTAGCACATACTATCGCCAACCATATCCCGCTCTTGAAGAAGTACAACACACAGGCGCCGGCAAATACGTTCTCATCACCGAAGCTTCGGAGGAAATCGGTGGAGCGATTGCTTCATCGTGGGCAAAGGCGGGAGCCGCCGGTATCGCCATCAGCAGTCGCGATGCAGACAATCTCGGGCCTATGATCGTCAGACTGAAGCGACTCAACCCCACAACACAGGTCCTAGCTATGGCTTGCGACACCACAAAATCGGCCGAAGTCGCCAGACTCTTTGATTCAATAAGAGAGGGGTTTGGTCAACTCGACGTAGTCGTCGCAAACGTCGGTACCGCACATCTCAGCAGGATAGATGAGATCGACGACAACGACGAGTGGTGGGCCGATATGACAACGAACTTCCGCAGCACACATCTTCCCGCCCACCAATACATCCGCACTTTTGGTCCTGCACCAACCGGAACATTCATCTCCATCACATCCGGCGCGGGTACCGTCGTGACACCCGGTCTCTCTTCCTATGGCATTGCGAAACAAACCGACCGTCGGCTCATCGAGTTCCTCAACGTCGAATATCCAGATATGAAGGCGTTCTCGTTGGATCCTGGGGTCGTGAGAACGGAGAGGACGAGCGATATGTTCAGGCCCTTTGCGTTCGATAGTCCAGAGCTAGTCGGCATGTTCTCGGTATGGCTAGGCGGCGGAAGAGCGGATAAGCTCAAGGGCAGCTATGTGCATACTACATGGGATATAGAAGAATTAGAAAGAGAAGCAGACGATATAGTCGGGCGGGGTACACTGAAAGATAAGTTTCCAGGGAGCTTGCTGGTACAAGAGGGTGTAACCTGGGGAAACCAGAGCCATGCACCGGAAAGACATGTGTAGCTTCTCATGGCGAGGGGGTTAAGCATGCGGATGGATGGTCGATTCGAGAGCTGCTTCGCACAAGAAATGCGAAACCGATGTTGATGCCACCTTGGTGCTGCTGAAGCCGTGATGTCCCGATGTGTGTAATAACCTCGAAGCTACAAATCAACAGTGGTGTGTACTGGTCCGGCCAAACGCCTCTCAACCTCTTCCCATGATGCCATCCGCCGCTTGTCTTGACTCCATAGGGTACCACCTACTCCGTGATTCCATATCCAGGCATCGCATAAAATGATGTCGTCCTCATCGCCGTAAAAGCTGACCGGTACATCAGCTTCCCAGATACGTACTGTATCTTGATGTGTCCAGTTCCGGGTCTTGTGGGGTGTCCGATGGTTCGAGTTCACGTCGACCAGAACAACGTCCAGGCTTTTCCCATCGTATGATCTGAATATCGTTTCGATGTCTTTCGCTGCTAGATTAACGGGTCGCATCATGATAAGCGTTTGCAGGGATGGTGTCTTGAGACAGAATGATATTTCTAGATCCGACATCTCTTGGGTAGTGATGGCAAGCCGTTTGAGATTGGGCGGTGGGTGTCGAAAGTAGTTGACCACATCGTAGCTGACAATGAGCTCTTCAAGGTTTGACATGTGTGAAAAGACTCTGTTCACGGTGACATGTGGCCTGATTTGCTCAACCTCACTTGGGGGCGCATAAATCGGAGAGAGGTCTAAAGCCAGTCTCTTGAGTGAAGGCCCGATCAGATCTGCAAAGAGATCGATTATTTGTGGTAATCGAACCAAGGGCGTGTAGCTGCCTTCGATGAGCCTGCGCACTTCGGTTGGTGAGATGAATATGGATGTTATATGGCGGAGTGCCTGGGCTTCCGCGAACAGTTCTTCGTTTCGCCCGGCTTCTCCATAGTTGAGAGCTTGTGGGTGATGCCCCAGGTGTAGTCCGAGTGTTCTGCGAAATCGCGCATAGGTCGTGCAACTGTCCAGATACAGACAATGCGAGTAAAGATACTGGGTGGCTATAAGATAAGTGTTGCGCGAGACCAGGGTGAGTGCGCGCAACGTCTTGGTGATGATGTTTGACGGTGCATACGCTACAGGATGCTGGCCGTTGTGGGTACCCACAAGTTGATCGAGAACGTTGAGGAATAGTTCTAATGGCAAGCTGGCGAACCCTCGCGATATGTTCTTCGGGAACTCAGCTCGTTCCATTAGGTCGCTGGCGATATTGACTAGAAATGTGCAAGCTGGAGATGGCGGGAATAGATTTTGGTAATATTGTTGAGCCTCCTTACGTCATCACTTTCCCCGCTCGCGGCCCGCACGCTAATCTTCAAAAGGTCTAGCCTGGGAGCTAATCCTGGATTGTACGAGCGACGCATGAGCTACGGCGGCGGCCGTGGCGTCCGTAGACTCCGTGATCAATCTCTGGAGTAACACCGTTACCCAGCGCACCTCGGCCGACTCAAAACGAAGCGCGTTCTAGGGTGCACAGGGCCTCAGTCGGGGCAACAACACATCCGAGCCATTCGTAGGTGGAGGCGGAGAATCTGATACACCGCTCCGCCCACTCCAATGCTATACCCCCTCATCAATTGGCTTCGACTGACCAATTGCCTGTGTTTGTGATCGTATACCTTTTAGGCCTCCTGACTGGTCGCGTCCCATGGTGTGTGCTCAAATGCGTTCAAACCCACTACTCGGTCGATCTCATCCATGCTTTTGACCGGCAGCTTTGAGCGAATGCAACAAGTCTCTCATGGTGCGGATGCGAGCGTCTGTCAGGTATGCTACTTCCAAGGTGGCACACGAAGTACCCTCCAGGACGTGCGTCACTATTGAATCGAAAAACCACCGCCAAAAATGAAGGGCCGTTCCCGACCTTGGCCCCCACATCCCGCAAGTGTTGCGATATGTAAAGGGCCCACGCAGCTAGAGATTTGAGACAACATATTGCAAGTTGGCTCACAAGTCCAGCCCTCTACTCAATCGAGATCTATACCGATAGGAATTGAGAGCTCACTCGAACTTCTTCAGAATGCCATTTCAGCGGGGCGTCTTAGCCGCTCTCTTGGTGGTACTGGCCTACATCATCAAGGTACAAAGCTCATACCAGACTCCTTTGCGTCAAGACTAACAACCCGAAGATCGTGTGGACAGGGCTCACAGGCCCACTGTCAAAGCTTCCAGGGCCATGGTACACCAAGTATACCAGTCTCGTCCTTCGTTACCAGACGGTTTCAGGGAAACGAATCTTCTACGTGGACAATCTTCACCAGCGCTATGGCGGCGTCGTGCGAATCTCTCCAAACGAGACAGCCATATCGGACATAGCCGGTGTCAGTCAGATACACAAGATCGGTGCTGGATACCTGAAGTCGGACTTCTACTCGTCTCTCCTTCCAACTGATACACCCGGTATATTCCCGATGCGCGATCCACATGCCCACGCCGCAAGAAGAAGGCTGTTTGCCCGACCCTTCAGCAACACCAGCTTGAGCAGCAACTGGGACGTAGAGATTAGGACGAAAGCAAACCTAGCTGTCCAGAGAATTCGACACGACGCAATGGGTTCATCGCAAGGAGCCGATGTCCTCAAATGGTGGACGCTCATGGCCAATGATGTAATTGCTCACCTCAGCTTTGGAGAGAGCTCCGAAATGCTTGAGATGGGTAAGGTATGCAACTCAGCCTTCTTCAACCTTGCTATATATACATATTCTAATAACAGGGGTAGCAAACACCATACATTGATGCTATTCAGGCTGCGCTTATTTGCGGTATCATTCGGTCCGAAATTGGAACTACCATCTGGAAAATTCTCAGTTACCTCCCCATCGAACGGATAAAGTTTCTCTACTCGATCGATGACGTCCTGAACGAACACGGCGAGCGGGCGATACAGAAGATGCGCAGTGAGGGTGGTAATACCAAGAATCTCTTCAATCAAATGATGGCTGCTGGGGAAGACAGTAAGACTGCCGCGCTTTCGAATAAACACATAAGGGAGGAAGCGGCCGGCTTCATTGTGGCCGGATCGGACACTACCGCGGTGACGCTCACGTATCTCGTCTGGGCGGTTCTCAAGCAGCCTGATCTGCAGTCTCGACTGGAGAACGAGATTGCAGAACTCAGCGAGGAGCTTACAAAAGAAGAGCTCGAGAACGCGCCTCTATTGAACAGCGTCATCGCAGAGACGTTGAGGCTTTACGGCGCTGCTCCTGGCGCCTTACCTCGGGTTGTACCGAAACAGGGCACTGTCATAGGCGGCCATCACATCCCCGCAGATACTGTGGTCAGCACTCAGGCTTACACAAACCATCGCGATCCTTCCGCCTTTCCCAATCCCCACGAATTTGACGGTCTTCGCTTTTTGGACAAGAGCATGATGTCAGCACATCAGAAGGCGTCGTACATGCCCTTTGGAGCTGGCTCGAGGGTGTGTATCGGCATACATCTAGCGTATATGGAGCTCCGCTTAGGAGCTGCTCTCTTCTTCCGACATTGTCGCGGCGCCAAAATCTCCGACTCCATGAACGATGAGATGATGGAGATGGACAACAACTTCTTGATTGCTCCCAAGGGCCATCACTGCTACATCACCCTGGGATGAGGGATCTCAACTTCAGTAACCGGTACGTGTTTTTAGTAGTTGCGAAGTTCTTCGAGATTATTCATTGGCCTTTGCATCGAATCTTGCACGCGTGTAGGTAGGAAGTAAGAACAACATACGTTTGTTTGCTTCGCGAGGGGAACTATATGCACGATGAAGTGAACGTTCCTCAATTCCACTCTGCTTCAAGATCACCAATCTTATCCTCCGGATGCAAGCCATTCCATTCTTCTGCCAGCTGAAGTGCCAGATGCCGACGATCGCCCAGCAACCCACTGTTGACGACCCTAAACAGCTTTCTCGCGATGGCACTCTCGCGCGAAAGACCAAATACGATGAACTCTTCTGACGCTGCGCCCCTAAAAGCCTGCTTCAACGTCTTGAACTTTCCCTCAGGCGGCTCGTATGTTGCCAAGTCTTCATCTCTCTCGTCCATCGAGTGACCTGCCCACGCCCAGAACGGGGGTCGAAGGGCCACAAACTTGGGTGCGAAGCAAGCCATATCCCAGTCTACGATACCTGTGATCTCCACAGTCTCCGGGCCTGTAATCTTAGCGAGTATGTTGCGGGGAAACAAGTCGCCATGCGTAAGATGGAAGCGCTGCCCCAGCCATCCGCGCCGATCTAGAGCTTTCGCAACGGCGATGGTGATTCGCCACAGGTTCTTGTTTCGGCTCGCACGTCCAATCTCTTCTTCGTACTTCTGCCAGCGCTGGCAATGATCCATCAGATACCCAAAAGGTGTTTGAGGTGGCGCTGGACTCTGGCTGGGCTGAGCGAAGTGTGGTCGTTTCTTCGCTTCTTTGTTCGTCGGAACGGGGAATTGATCCAGTGCTATAGCTGAGCTCCCTGAGGTCAAATTACTCAGGGAGATGAACCCAGCCGCGGGCGTCGTGACGGCTGCAATCTTTTCCACTGTTTGCGTAATCTGCTGGATGGCCGACGCTTTCTGTTTTGGATTTAGCTCTAGCCACAATGCATGTAAGTTCTTACCAGGTAGTAAGGTCTGCAGGGTATATGGCCGTCCCAAGGCATTTGTCCGACCAAGATCGTACTTCTCAATCTTGGGTATGGGTAGCCCTAGGCAGGAGCTGATAACGCGTTGTGTAACAATGTCGCCAGCAACGTCGCTCAGAGGAGGACCATCCATGTCTCCATTCTTGTCTCTTGGAATTCTCAAAGCAAACTTGCGGATTCGTGGAGGTATGCCAAGAAACCTTGACACTCTAGCGCTAAAGCCGACCGCGGAGTCACGTCGTTGCGCCTTGTGTTGTAATTTGACCGCTACAACGATGTTGAAAGAGCCCATGCCAAGTACGTGGAGTGAAGATTCATCGATCTCGCTCTCAGGAAACAGATCGGCAAGGAGTTGCATAATTCGGAACTTCAGTCTCAGGACTGTTTCTCTCCCTTCCACAAAGCCTACGCCCCCTTCAGTGAAGATGTTCTTGTCATCGAACAAGCGCCGTAAGGGGTTCTCGCTCTCATATCCAGAAGTTGTCCGTTCATCGTTGCTCGGGACGCGATCTGGGAGGTATCCTCTGACCGCTTCAATGCAGGCGATGTCAACTTTGCTCAGTCCTTGAACTGACATGTCGAGATGCGCCATCAAGTACGGCCTTGATGGGTATATGGACTTTACCGTTCTTATTCCCGCTAGTGACGAGTCCATAAGGGAAGATTGCGCGGATAATCTGGCGATATTGAACTACTTTGTGCATTGTGAGATGAGTCGCAGCGATCGCTGGAACACGACGGTTGCTGTAGGTGCACAATGTCTCTCCAACAGTGTGACGAGAGTGATTCAACTTTGCGCTGTGTAAGCGATACAGCTTCTGAGAGGATAACTAATAAGGTTAAAGCTACAAGGTCTCATGATACATGCCGTTGTTATCGATTATCTGGTATTGCAATCACTCATGGGTACAAGTCAATCATCACTTCGAGAAAGTTAGCGTGAATTGTGCAGCTTCGAATGCTCAAGAGACATATTTTGATGTCAACGTAGTCGCATAGCTATTCAAAGGTAAATGTGCTAATTTGGAGAGCTTAGAGAATCAATGAGGTGCTTTCAATCAAAAGCACTGACTATTCCACATGGCCATCTAGAGAGAAGACAATTTTCAAGAGTTGCAACGCAATGCTAGGACTAAGTGATTCAGTATTCGCATTTCTTTCACATGTCTAAAACATGTACCAGCTATTCCGTAACGGTGACCTCGTCTTCTTCTGCATCCTTTGTGGGCTCAATGTCTTTGCCAGGCTCATCGTCTTTTGTAGTCTCATCCTCCTCCGCAGTCTCATCGTCCTTTGTAGGCTCATCATCAGAGTCAGACTCAGCCTCAGAGTCGGATTGCCAGTCAAGACGGAACCGAACATTATCCTCGGGGTGGAGTTTATCCCACTCTTTCACAACCGCTTTTGCCTCATCGTAGTCCCAGCTACCAGACATTCCCTTCTGCAAAAAATAGAACATACGTCTAGCGAGCATTGCCTCTGGTGCAAAGGCAAAGAACTTATACTTGTCGGACGCATTGTCAAGGAACACTTGCTTCAGTATCCTGTCCTCATCAGTAGCGAGCTCCACGTTCGCCACGCTTTCGTCGTCTTCTTTGTCGCTAGACATGTCCGCAGGCGTCCAGAGGTAAAACGGGGCTCTATAGGCCATGAATTCCGGAGCAATGATGGCTGTATCCCAGTCGATAACGCCTGTGATCACCGCATGGGTGTCACTACGTACTTCCGCGAGGATGTTGTAGATCTTGAGATCACCATGAACGAGTACGCATGGCCCGTCGAGAAAGCCACGATCGTCTAGAGCTCTAGTGATGTTTGCGAAGCTTTTCCAGATGTCATCGAAAGAAGCGCCCTCGGAGTTCTCGTAGTCGCTCCACGCCTTGCATCGCCCAAGCATGTAAACGAAAGGGTCGTCAATCAAAGCCGGCTCGGGCTTCTTGTTCTCACGACTAGTTATATGAAACGTCTGGGTATGGACTGGGGAATTCGGAGGGTTGTACAGGTTCTGAGAAGATATGTCGCCGACTGATCCTTCCACTGAAGCGATGGTGGGAACGAGAGCGGTGATCTCCTTCGCGAGATGCTTCTTTTGCTCCATATTGAGCTTGGTCCAAAGGTCCGTCGCGAGGGTGCGACCAGGGAGATGGGTTTGAATCATATATGGCCGTTCGAAGATATTCGCAGTGGTAAGATCATAGCTCGCAACCTTGGGGATGGGTAAAGGCAGCCGAGAGCCCACGGTCTTCAAGATTGACACCTCCCTTTCCATATCTTCGGCCATATCTTTGGCACCATCCTCATCCTCGTAACGCGTCCGCGGGACACGCACAACGTACGACTTTGATTGCGCAGCTTTCTTCTTCTTGCGCGCGCTCAAACAGGGGAACAGGAACCAGGCCAAAGTAAACTTCTTGGCCTTTTGTGCAATGGAGACGCCGATGACTCGGTTGAAAGAGCCACCCTTCATTTCATGGACAGTGATGTCTTGCGGGCTTCGCCGGAATATTTTTGCGGCTAGTGCGACGACTTTGTGCTGAATCGTCTCGAACGGTTCCTGTCCATAGATCACCGTGTTTGTTTCTGAGACTGCATCGTTTTCTGACTCGTGATCCTGCTCATTAACAATGTCTACCGATTTGTCTTGGTGTTGCATGCAAGTGTCCTCGGCTGGGGCGTTGACACGGTCTGGCGCATCCGAAATGAGTGTCGGCGGAGCCGCCGGGTTCGGGGAGCAAGTCGACATGATGCGACTTCTGAATACGGAGGAGCGTTGCAGTGTAGGCGGAGGGATCTTTAAAAGGCGTCAGGGCGCATTGTTGTACCGTAGCTCTTTGTTTGCTGAATGCCAAGCCTTGTCGGTGCACAGGGTCGTTTCCTTCTGAACCATCACTGCAGGAGCGGTGTGAATGCTCAATGTGATTCATCATCTCCAAGTCAAGTTCCGTATTGTCGCAGTGGGTTCCGTGGGGTGTTCGTATAGAATGCTCCCTGTGCTGCGCGACAATCGTAAGTAACCCGACAGTAATACAACCCCCAATCTACCACGAACTACATTAGAATAACCCCGTAACACTATCATAATGCCCGGAATGCCCAGAGTCGGAGACACAGGTCGGCCCTGTACAAAGAATACCAAGGGAACTTTACATCACTGTCCTGGTTTAAACGGCTGGGTCGGCGAATGGAGTCCTGGTGGCTGCGATAACGGTAAACACGGCCCGCCAGGGCTTGCGTTCTTCTACTGCAAAAAACACCAAATGCCGTGTCGTCAGGGCTGCTTCAAAAAAGCTCATATGAAGAATCAGGATGGCTGCCGATCATGCGAGTTTAATTGGGGGCGTGAAGATAAGGCGGAAAGGGAAGCAAGGGAAAATCAGAAAGCGATCGAGAAGAGTAAAGAAGAAGAAGCTTTCTTCAATCCAGGTAAAGGAAGGAAGAAGGATAGGAAATAAACGATCAAAGCCGGTATCTATCATTCGGAACTAGTAGAAGGATGGATGAACAGTTCACGGGTTGTGGTGTCTCGAGTAGGTTTGGTCTTGCGGAGGAGCCCGCTCTCTTACAAGCTGCACCTTACACAGACAGGACCTAGAGGCGTACACCGTCTTGCGGTGCAGGCAGAATGTTAAAGTGTCGGATATGGCATATGCAAAATGGAATTCTTCGCAATCTGTTCCCTGTTCTGTGATTGATGGCGTAATGTGACCTACACTTTCCGGTTCGATCGTGAAGTAGGAAACTCTTTATCCACTGAGAACTGCTCCATGACACATGTTGCAGGAGCGCACGATGTTACATAGGCCCGCGTCATCTAGGAAGCGCCCAGATGGTGGAGATCGAGAAGCAAGATGTGGATAGTCGCCTTTCTGCAGTTCAGGTTGGTATCCGAGACCATCGAAAACGATCCTAATCTGTGAGCAAGCGACCTCTTCGGTGTCACATCAGGAAACCCTCGAAATTCCTGACGACGTAACCGTACCTCA